ATTGCTCCTTTAAAGAAGACAAAGACGTTCCGATTGGGGGTCAGGATCCAGAGGCCCCCCTCACCCTGGCAGGCAGTAGGCTCTGGGTGCTGGGGCAGGTCTCATGTCCAGAAGCACAGGGTCCTGTCCAGCTGTCCAAGGTCCATGGCTCCCCTGGTCCCAGACGGCTTCTCTTGGCATCTTCTCTCATCTGCTTCTTCCCGACCTGGAGCAGGAAGGTGCTGCGCCTTCCAGACCCAGCCTGGGAATCCTCTCCCCTCTGGCACTTTCCCCTGGGCCCTGTGTCTGGAGACTCCCCAGGCTGAGGTCCCTGAGTCCCTCCCCAGGTGCTGACTCAGGCACACTGCCCCTCCCCTCAGGGACCCTGCTGTCGGGGGCTGAGTTTTAGAAAGCCCCTCCCTTGGGAAAGACTGGGCCCTCTCATTGCCACCTTAGTCCTTCAGAAGAGCCCAAAGGTGGTACTTCAGGCCCAGGGCTGCAGCAGAGCTGGGCTTGCTATCCAGATGGCTCAGTGTCTGCCTCCCCCAGCACTGGCTGTGGGTGCTGGGTAGGTGGAAATGACTCCTCCAGGGGCTCCTGCCCAGAGCCCAAAAGCCAGGGAGGGGCCTGAAACAGAGAAGAGTCAAGTACCTGGACAGCTGCCCGGGTCAGGCCCCAGGGAGGGAGCAGTGGGGTCTAGAGGCCCTCGGACCCAGGTCCTTGCCTTCCTGTTCCTGTGTGGCTGTGGGAGGGCAGGTGGAGCTGCCACAGGGGTTCCTCCCCAGCCTGTCCCTCTGCAGGTGGGCAAGTGCTCCTTGGGTCTGTGCTCTAAAGGGCACTGCCTGAGAGAGTGAGGACCTGCTGCGCTGGGCAGGGGGTGGCTGGGGCCCGGCCAGCCCTGCCCCCCAGGGCCCTTGAAGGAGCTGCGTCTGCTCACCCCTCTTCTGGCCCCACACCCACACATCCACACCAGGTTGATCGGGTCCCATTTCTTTCCAGGGGTGGCGATAAGCACATATGCCAAGTACTGTTACCACAAGCTGCAGAAGGCAGCCTTGACCGGGGCCAAGAAGGTACGGGTGCGCCTGGGGGGCTGGGGAGGGCAGGCGGGGACACAGACCCTTGGTGGACAGCCCCAGGAGCCCTGCCTGCAGTTTGGTGTGGGGCAGAAGTGCAGAGGGTGCCACACAGAGCCCACCTAGGTGAGTGGTGGGGTGCGCCAGGCCGACCCCGTGTTCTGACCTGTACCCTCCCCCAGGGGCTCTTCCCAGGCCCAGACTCCCAGCTCAGGAGCAAGGCAGGCAAAGGGCTTCAGTCAGACCGCGCCACAGGACCTCATTCCCTGTACCTGTCCCAAGAGCCTGGCCCCTTCCCCATGTCCTCTTATCTCTGATGCACTGGTCGCATCACACCCTCCCCAGGGCTCTCAGCCCTGCCACAGACTTCTGGAAGTTTCACCCCAGCTCAGCCAGCTTGGCCTGTGCTGTGCTCCCTGACAGCCCTGGCCGGCCCAAGGGACACTCCCACCTTCCCAAGGGACCCTGCGAGCTGGTGCTGTAGACAGTGACTCCGGCCGGGGAGCTGGGCCTGTCCGTAGCTCTAGTTGGAGCCAGGAGTCCACAGGGATGAGAGGAGGGGAGGCAGAGCCAGGGGCAGCCCAGGAGGAGTTAGGGTTTGGGGGCAAGGAGGGCTGGAAGCAGGACGGCCAGGCCAGACCAGGACAGAGCCTCTGTCTTCACAGGGGCTGAAGAAGCCCAACGTGGAGGAGATCCGGCACGCCAAGAACGCCGTGTTCAGCCCGTCCATGTTTGGCAGCGCACTGCAGGAGGTCATGGGCATGCAGAGGGAGCGCTACCCTGAGCGCCAGCTGCCCTGGGTGCAGACACGGCTCTCTGAGGAGGTGCTGGCGCTCAACGGTGACCAGACAGAGGGCATCTTCAGGTGCCACGGCAACCCCGGGCGCCGGGTGTGGGGGCCACAGCTGTGTGTCCACCATGCATCTCTGGCATGTAGGGGCCATTAAGCCTCAGGCCTGCTGGGCTGCTTTCCCACCCCTACCTGAGAGCAGATGGAAGGCTGGGGCCACAGTGTGGAAGCTGACCCCGAGTGTGTGCAGGCCAGGAAAGAGGACAGGACCCATTCTGAAGAGGAAGCACAGCCAGCCAGGGAGGGCGCCCCTGCAGATGGCCACCAGCGGTCCAGAGCATGCTTGGACACCAGCCATGGGCAGCCCAGGGTGTGAGCCTCAGATGACAGGCAGCCCTTGTCTGTGAACAGGGATGGCACAGGGTGCCACCCACTCCCGTGACTCACCTGTCAGGGCAAGGGGTACCTAGGCCCCAGGAGGGCAGCTGGGGAAACTGAGGCTTGCAGGTTGAGCCCCAGTGGCCCTTTGGTGAGGGCATCCACACAGGGAGCCAGCAGGGGTCCAGGGATGGACGGTGGCCTGGGGAAACACCACACTCGGACCCAGGTGTGTGGGGCAGGAATCCTGAAGAGTGCCATCCACCCATGTTCGTGGGAAAGAGGCCAACTGGGGTGGCAGGGGGTCCTGAGGTTTTGCTCCCTCCAGGGGTCAGCAGGGGCCGACCGAAGGGAGTGTCCAGGCGGAATCATGAAGCCGCAGCGCAGGCTCCTGTTGCCTGAGACCTGCCCTGTGCCCTGCAGGGTCCCTGGGGACATTGACGAGGTGAATGCTCTGAAGCTGCAGGTGGACCAGTGGAAGGTGCCCACAGGCCTGGAAGACCCCCACGTCCCTGGTGAGTCCTCCACACTGCAGCAGAGCAGGCCTGGCTCAGGCTGTGGCTAAGGGGTCCCTGTCTCCGCCTCTGGAGTTCACCCTGATCCTGCCTCCTGCCTGGTGATACGATGGCTTCCCAGTCACTTCCAGCACATCCTCCCTCCTGCCCATTGCACAGTCTCCCCAGGTGTCTGCGGGGCACCCCGAGGCCTGCCTGTGCAATGCAGCCCACTGCCAACCTGCTGCTCTCTGCCCTGTGCCCTTCCGCCATGCCTGCTGTGCAGACACCCCCTCACGGCAGCTGCACAGACTCCTGAGAAAAATCCTGTTTCGCACGTCTTTGCTGGCGTGACCCCCATGCCTCCAGGATCAAGTTCAGGCCCCTAGGAGCTGAAAGGCCCTCCGGGGTCCGGGCCCAGCCGGGTCAGATGGGCCCTGTCCAGAATGGGCCGGCCCTCCCAGCCTGTCACCCACAGCACCCCTCGTGTCCGCCACAGAACCCCACTTGGCCCAGGGGTGCCCGCCGAGCAGGCCCGCTAAGCCCCGTGCTGTGTCCCCAGCATCCCTGCTGAAGCTGTGGTACCGGGAGCTGGAGGAGCCCCTGATCCCGCACGAGTTCTACGAGCAGTGCATCGCGCACTACGACAGCCCCGAGGCGGCGGTGGCCGTGGTGCACGCGCTGCCCCGCATCAACCGCATGGTGCTCTGCTACCTCATCCGCTTCCTGCAGGTACTTCCCTCCGCGGGGGGTCCCCGCCGCTTCCCCCTCCCCGCCCCTCCGTGCCCACCCTCGCTCCTCCTCCAGGTCTTCGTGCAGCCGGCCAACGTCGCGGTCACCAAGATGGATGTAAGCAACCTGGCCATGGTGATGGCGCCCAACTGCCTGCGCTGCCAGTCCGACGACCCGCGCGTTATCTTCGAGAACACCCGCAAGGAGATGTCCTTCCTGCGCGTGCTCATCCAGCACCTGGACACCAGCTTCATGGAGGGTGTGCTGTAGTGGGGGCGCCCGGGGACAGGAGGGACGTCCTGCCGCCCCGAGCCAGGCCGAACCCCGCACTTGCTCTCCCGGCAGAGGGGCCAGAATCGCCCGGCCCAGCCCTGCAACCTCCTCCCCTCCCCCAGGCCCCTGGCCCCGGCGCTCCCCACGTCTTCTGCCTGGTCTGAGGGTGCAGCCAGAGCAGAGCAGCGGCAGGGAGGGCGCCTCTGGCCCCCCACCTCACGGCCAGTTCCCGCGGGCACAGCCTCGCCCTCCGCTGGCCCCAGGTCAGCTCCGAGAAAGTGCCTTCAGTGCCTTCAGTGTCCTGGAGCCGAGCGACACTGCCCTCCGTGGGGCCGGGCTGCCTCCCCGTGGCTCCTGTGCGTCCTGGCCTGGGCCTTGCCCAGCCGCCCCCGTCTCCTTCCCTTCCTCCGGTCCTTGTCCTGAGCTGCAGCTCTTCCCAGCCCCGGGGGAGCTTCCCGACCTGTCCCGCCGCCTCTCCCTTCCTCGGCCCGTGGTCCCCAGCTGGTGACTGCTCAGGAGTTTGGGGGCTCCAGGGCAGTGGGCCCGGGGTCTGGCAGGCTCTCGGTGGGTGGGGTGGGGGCCCCCAAACCAAAGTCCTCTGGGGTAGGGGGCAGGGCTGGGCAGGCATTCTGGGGGCAGGGTGGGGGAGGGGCGAGAGTATTTTTTCTTCGTGTAACTATAAATCCAGAATCTATCCTGCATCGCAGCCCACCTGTGTATAGAGATATAAATAGAGGGAAAGATATAAGAACTAAATTTGCTAATGACATAGTTTTAACCTAAATGCTATTTATCTCTGAGCCGTCCCCGTCCTCCGTGCAGAGGAAGTTGAGGTCATTCCTTCTTTTCTTCTCCGATCTTTTTTCTTGGCTTCTGACCAAAAACCAAGCTCTACCCCATCCCCGTCCCCGACCTGCAGCTGACGAGCGTGAAGACGCCGCGCCCGGGACTGCCTGTTCTCGAGGCCAGAGCTGCTGGGGGACCGAGTCTGTACATTTTCCATTTTGGAATTTTGAGTTCCAATTGTTGTAAAACTTAATTTCTCCCCAGTTTTTATATATATATTTTTTAGAGTTCCGTTTTTATTTATTAAAAACAAAAGGCCCAGCCCTGCCGAGGCCCGGGCGGCGTCCTCAGTCGGGTGGCCCCTCCCGGCTCAGACGCTCGCCCCGACGCATGGACCCGAGAGGCGGCGACGCGAGTGAATAAAGTGCACATGGACCCTACGCCGTCTTCTGTTCCTTGTGGGCGCGGCCGGGGGCGGGAAGAGACGCGGGGCCGACCGGAAGGGGCGGGGCCGGGTACGCCGCTCGGAAGGCCAGGGCGGGCGAGACCCCGAGGCCACAGGGAAAGGGAAGAGCGCCGGGCCCGGGTCGCGGAGGCGGGCGCCGCCGGAACGCGAGGCGCGGGGCTGCTGGGGGCGGGCGCGAGTTCGCGCGGCACCGCCCTCGGCGTGACCTGCTGGCCGCTTCCGGCGCGGGAGGAGAATGTGGTCGCAGTGCGGGGCGCTCCGGAGCCTGGCCTTGGCGCGGTCGCGGGGAGCCCGGCCCTGCAGCGGGGATGGGGGCGTTTCCTACACGCAGGGACAGAGGCCCGAACCCCAGACCCGCGAGTATTTCTACTACGTGGACCACCAGGGCCAGGTGGGAGGAGGCAAGGCCGTTGCTCGAGGGGCGGGGCCGGGAGAGGTGCCTGTGGGCGGGGCCGGAGGCGAGGGTTTCTGTGGGCGCGGCAGTTGCCCGAAGGGCGGGGCCGAAGGGAAGTCCCACGTGGGTGGGCGGGGCCGGGGCGGTGGGCGACCTGGACTCGGCAGAGCTGGAGGAGCGCGCGCTGGAAAGACGGGAGCTGGGTCGGTCCGGCTGAGGCTCCTCCTACACGGGCCGCGTCCCTGCTGCGTCGTGCAGCTCCGGACTCTGCCCTGCAAGCCCCCAGCCCTGGCGCTGACTTCTCGCCGCTGCCAGGGAGACACCCGGGCCGCCCCGCATTTTTTTGGAAGCCCTGTCAAAGGCAGCGGCGTGTCCGGGAGGCAGCAAGCCAGGTAGTCTCCGCGGAGGAGGTGACACAACTGATTACAAACTTGAAAAGAGGGAAAAGGTGCAGGAAAGGCTTGACTGACCAGGGAGCAGAAGTGCGCATAGATGCGGAGAAGTCGGCAGGGCCCCCGGGTTTACCTTCCACGAGCCTCCCTGCATTCGGCGTGCACAGACAAGCAGGAAAAGTGGGCTCGGGCCGGTTCGGGACCTCCCGAGCTTCCCAGCCTCCCCCTGCACGCTGGGACTCATCATGGCCCGGCCCTCTGTTTGCAGCTTTTCCTGGATGATTCCAAAATGAAGAATTTCATCACCTGCTTCAAAGGTAATGTTGTGCCTTCCTCCCCAGCCCTTTCTTTCTCCCTTCGGGCAGCCCCGGATGGGCTCCCCGACTCTGCCAATGGGCCCAGCGCACCAAGGAGTGGGCGTCCTGCGCTCAGGAGCCCCGCTGAGTGAGGCCAGGCGAACCTCTTGCCGCCGGCGCCTGCCTTCGGTGTGGTCCTGGGCCCGGCAGCCTTGGGAGCCCAGCGCGCTGAGCATCTGTGCCCTTCATCCCCCAGACCCGCAGTTCCTGGTCACCTTCTTCTCCCGCCTGAGACCCAACCGCAGCGGGCGCTACGAGGCCGCCTTCCCCTTCCTCTCGCCCTGCGGCAGAGAGCGCAACTTCCTGCGCTGCGAGGATCGGCCGGTGGTCTTCACGCACCTGCTGACCGCGGACCACAGGCCTCCGCGCCTTTCCTACTGCGGCGGTGGTGAGGCCCTGGCCGTGCCCTTCGAGCCGGCGCGCCTGCTGCCCCTGGCCGCCAACGGGCGCCTGTACCACCCGGCGCCGGAGCGTGCGGGCGGCGTGGGCCTGGTGCGCTCAGCCCTGGCCTTCGAGCTCAGCACCTGCTTCGAGTACGGGCCCGGCGCGCCCGCGCTGCCCTCGCACGTGCGCTGGCAGGGCCGCCGCCTCGCCCTCACCATGGACCTGGCCCCGCTGCTGCTCGCGGCTCGGCCGCCCTGAGCGGGGCCACGGGACAGGCGGGAGGCCGCGGGCGCCCCTCACCCCGCTCCCGCGGGACCCCACGCCCCGGAAAGCCCGCGCCACCCGTATTCGCGACAGCCTAGTGCGCCTGCGCGCCCCGCCCCCCCATCCGGCGCTGTCCTTGGTGCTGCCGCGGCCCGGCCTTCCCGGACCCTCCGCTCCCCACGGCGCGCGCCCCCCGCGCACCCGACTCCGGCGCCCTCCGGATTGGCCCGCGCTGGAGACGTCAGGCCCAGGCGGCGGGCGCGGGACTCTGGTGCGCGTGCGCGAGCGTCCCCCGCCCCCTCCCAGCCCGGCCGCTGCTCAGACCGGGGCCGCCACCTGCACGGCGGGGGAGCCGCTCGCCGCGGGAGCGTCAGGTGAGGGGACGCCCGGCCCAAGATCACCAGGCGTGGGGAGACTGGGGGGTCGGGGACCACCCTGGCTCTGACCCTGGTGCGCTTCGAGAAGGGCGTGGGTCTTGGAGGGGGATGGGGAACGCGGAGGCCACGCCCTCCCTGAGCCCGGCCGAAAACCGACCGGCGCTCGTGGGTAGCAGAGGAGACCGTGGGGGATACAGGCACCGGGTCGCAGTGCTGCAGAGGTGCGCAAGGGCCGCCCAGAGACCAACTTGGGCCTCGCACTGTGCCCTAGGCCACACAGGGCGTTCCATCCTCTTCCCTCCCCGCCTCCCACACAGAGGGGCGCCCAGGAGGCAGTTACAGTCGTCGCGGAATCCTGCGTGTGACACCCCGCCCCTGCCCAGCGGATTAGGGGGTGTCCTCTGGTAAAAGGATTTCTGGGCTTCTTCCAGCCTGGGGCCCTCATCCCTGCTCTGGCAGGCCTTTCTACACCAATCTGCATCTAGGGGGGGTCAGCGTGAGCAGCAGAGCCCTGAGATCTGAGGCCAAGAACCTTTTCCACTTGAGAAGCCTTCCTGCTGGAGGCTGACTGGGCCAGGCCTGGAGCCACGTACCAACCCTTTTTACCCAGGGAATGGATCCCAGGGGCCCAGAAAACGCCCCCAACTTCTTGGGGTTCACACGCATCTTGAGACATCTGGGAACTGCCTCCGCCTGGGCCAGAGCTATTCCATTAAAACTATTGCTGTGCTTATTTATCTCTAGTGACTTTAAATAATCATATGAGTTACAATTTAGGGCAAGATTTAAACAAACACCAAGGCCACTTGGTCCCGTCCCTTTCCACATGACTCGGCAAAGAGGAAGAGCTGGTGGACAGGCAAATGTTTGGGGAGGCCTGCCAGATGAGGCTGGGAGACAGGACACCTGCAGCCCTGTCTTCCCTGGCTTCAGGTAGGCTGGCTGGCTTAGTCCAGATCCCTGCTTTTAAAACTAGGCTCCTTGTTCCTGAAACCAGACCCCAGCCTTCCCATTTCTTTAGGATAAGTACATGCATATGGTCCCCCAGCAAACTCCCTGCTCCTTGCTGATCTCAGACATCACACTGCTCCCAGAGCCCATTTGGGAAGCCACACCAGAAACCCAATTGGTGGCCCAAGGTCCCCCCCCCCCCCCCCCGCCCCGTCCCACCCCAGCTTTCCCAGGGCCCCATCTATCCCCAAAGACAGGACACCTTTCTGGGGTCCAGCATGGGAAGCACAGACCCATGGCTCCTGAGCCGACTTTCCCATTATTTTTCTCATCCCCTAATTCTCTTGACAGGTTACCTGAGAAAAAGACCCAATTCTAGTTAAGCTGGTCCCACCCCTAGGCCAGGAGCAGGTGCTGGACAAAGCTGTGCCTTGAATTCCCTGGGGCTCGTAGCTCCTCTGAAGCCAGCTCTGCCTGGGCCCCCACAGGATGAAAAGGAGGTGTGTCTGCCAGGGCCTGTTCTCCCCTTCCTAGCTATGCTTGGGTAATGGGGCCCCAGGCTTTGTCACCTAAGCAAAGTTCCCAAGCCCATACCCTGTACTTCCAGCTTCTTGCACCGTAGAACCAAACAGCAACCACTTGCCTGGGGGTAGAGTCGGGGGCAGCAAGCCACACACATCCATGTCCTGAGCAGGAAGCTCCTGACCTGCTGGGCATGGGTGGAGGAGGAAGAGAAGGTGACAGGGTTGGGTGGCTCTCCCTACATGGTCACATCCTGTGAAGAGGACACCAGGAATTCTAAATTCGAACCTGATGCCCCAGAGCTTTGAGAAAATGTTTTTGTCAAAGGAGAAAACCGAACGTTTTATTAGTTTCTTGAACCGATTTATAGCGTCAAAAGTTAGACGCAGGTGCAGGCCTCCATTCCATCTATTGGCTGGCTCTCGACTGCCGAGACTGGCCTGCCAACCTGTGTTTCAGGAGGGCACGCGTCCGCGGCTGAACCGCGGAAGGGCCGGTGAGGAGCTGGGCCTCAGGAGATGGCCCCGGGGGCCCCCGCGCTGCTGCTGCTGCTGCTGCTGCTACTGCCGCCCCGCACCGCCGGCTGCCCAGCAGCCTGTCGCTGCTACAGCGCCACAGTGGAGTGCGGCGCCCTGCGGTTGCGTGTCGTCCCGCTGGGAATCCCGCCAGGGACGCAGGTGGGCACTGTGTGGAGCTGCGGGAGGACAGGGTGCCCCCAGGGAGAAGACCCCCACAACGGGGTAAGCGCCTCCCCTTTCCCCGGCCTGCAGACACTGTTCCTGCAGGACAACAACATCGCGCGCCTGGAGCCAGGAGCCCTGGCGCCGCTCGCCGCTCTGCGGCGGCTCTACCTGCACAACAACAGCCTGCGCGCCCTGGAGGCCGGCGCCTTCCGCGCGCAGCCGCGCCTGCTGGAGCTGGCGCTCACCAGCAACCGGCTGCGCGCCTTGCGCAGCGGCGCCTTCGCAGGCCTGGCCCAGCTGCGCGTGCTCTACCTGGCGGGCAACCAGCTGGCGCGGCTGCTGGATTTCACCTTCTTGCACCTGCCGGTGAGCGCCTGGGGGCTGAAGGGGCGGGAGACTCCATTATGGCCGCTCGCCCTGTAGGGCTGGAGTAGTTAGAAAAGGCAACGTAGTGTAGCTTGGTAAGAAGGGGGGGCATGCCCCCAACCTCGGCGCCCTTTTTCCTCACGATCTGCTGTCCCTACTTCAGCGACTGCAGGAGCTTCACCTGCAAGAAAACAGCATTGAGCTGCTGGAGGACCAGGCTCTAGCGGGGCTGTCCTCCCTAGCACTGCTGGACCTCAGCAGGAACCAGCTGGGTACCATCAGCCGAGAGGCGCTGCAGCCCCTGGCCAGTCTGCAAGTCCTGCGCCTCACAGGTACCTCTTCCTCGGAAAGTGTCTCTGTCTTGGCCAGGTGGTGGCAGTAGGGAACAGGCTCATGTGTGGAGGGGCTTTGACAGCAGGCAACTGGGCAGCAGTCTGGAGGGCCGCACCATCGCCTGCAGCCACAGTGGAGGGCTGCGGGAATGGGCGTGCTGGGGGATACAGCTCAGGCACCCTGCCTGAGGAAGAAAAGACAGGAACCCCACAGGGTGACTTAACAGAGTTGAGGATTCTGTACACTTTTATGACCTGAGGGGAGACAAAAATTGCAAAGGAGAGAGACAGCTGATCAGGACTGGGGACATTCCCGAGAGAACATCCAAAGACAAGGCTGAGAGGACTTGTAAGGTTTCAGTGCTGGTGAGATGCCTATGTGGAAGCCCAGGTTCCGAAAAACAGTGGCACTTGTTGCAGGAAGATTTGAGGAGCAGGTGCTTTCTCAGAGACTGACGCAAAAGTGATCTGTAACAGGCAGGCATCACAGAGCTAAGGCGGAGGGGGGCGGGGCGGGGGTGAAGGGCTGCTGCCGCCCCAAGGAGCTTGGGGTGAAGGAAGGGGTGGCAGGGGCCTTGGACTCCGTGTGAAAAGGCTGTGGTAGGTGGGAAAGAGGCCCCTGCCCTGGCCCGCAGAACCCCAACTGCACAGGCTCTGTTGTAGCACCATCCTCAAGCCACCTGCCTGATGCTGCTCTCCCACAGAGAACCCATGGCGCTGTGACTGCGCCCTGCACTGGCTGGGTGCCTGGATCAAGGAGGGCGGCCAGCGGCTGCTCACCTCCAGGGACAGGAAGATTATGTGTGCAGAGCCCCCGCGCCTGGCGCTCCAGAGTCTCCTGGACGTATCCCACAGCAGCCTCATCTGCATTCCGCCCTCTGTCCACGTGCAGCCGCTGGAGCTCACAGCCAACCTGGGTGAGGACCTGCGGGTTGCCTGCCAAGCCTCCGGCTACCCGCAGCCATTGGTGACCTGGAGAAAGGTGCCCCAGCCTCGCGAGGGCCGGCCGCGAGCCCAGGCCCAGCTAGAAGGTGGGGCGCCGGGCCTGGGCGGACACTCGGCATCCGACACGGGCAGTGGCATGCTCTTCCTCAGCAACATCACGCTGGCCCATGCCGGCAAGTACGAGTGCGAGGCCTCCAATGCTGGTGGCGCTGCCCGCGTGCCCTTCCGGCTCCTGGTCAACGCGTCCCGGCAGCAGCCGCAGCAGCCCGCGCAACCGCCACCTCCTGCCGCCCGCCCCGCTGGTCGCGAGTCCCGGCCCGAGGCGGGAAGCATGGCCTTCCGCGCCCTGGGCCTGGCCACGCAGACGGCCATTGCGGCGGCCATCGCGCTGCTGGCGCTCACGGCGCTGCTCCTGGTCGCCATGATCTGTCGCCGGCGCCGCAGGCGAAAAAAGGCGCGGGGGCCACCGGGGGAGGGCGCGCTGTTCGTCAACGACTACTCGGACGGCCCCTGCACGTTCGCACAGCTAGAGGAGCTCCGCGACGAGCGTGGACACGAGATGTTTGTCATCAACCGCTCCAAGCCGCTCTTCGCCGAGGGTCCGGCGGAGGCGCCCGCGGACTGCGGACCAGCGGAGGGGGCGGGCCCGGGACTCCGCGTGCCCCCGCCGGTCGCCTACGAAATCCACTGCTAGGGCGGCGGGCGCGGGCAGATGACGTGGGCGCTGGGGATTGGCCGGCGCGGCCGCGCACATGCTCCGTCAGTAAAGGTGGAAGCCGCGCAGTGTGCGGTGAGCCGTCTGTGGGACGCGCACCGGGAGCGTTGCACTCGGGAGTCCTGGGGTAGCAATGGAAGGTGGCCAGGGAGGCCCCAACACCTCCCTTGAAGTTCTTCCGAAAAGACATCACCCCAACCTCCAGCTCTGCAGGGGGGGGGAGTCCCTCGCTGGCCCTGGCCGGCCACGGTAGGATCTTGGGCCTCCGAAAGGTGGGAAGAGCAAGGACTGGCCGGCAGTGCAGACGGGGCCGCCCTGCGGGCAGGCTGGATGGCAGTTGTTGCCCAGTGGCCATGTTGGGGATGGTGACAGCAGAGATAAGGATAAGGCTGACCGATGTGGACAGAAAAAAAAACAGCCATAAATTCAATTTCCAGGCACATTTGTACCTTGATGACCCCCTCCAGCCGGAGCCCAGCCCAGTGGGGTTGCTGGGTGGCAAGGCAGGGAGCACGTTAAGAGGCACGAGTGCCTGGGGACCCCAGCCTCCCTGAAGCAGCCTCTGTCCAACTTCAACCCCAGAGCACTGAGCTCTCAGTAAAGGGATGGGAAAGGCTCAGAGAGGCCATCATCTCTCTCAACTCACAAGTGGGATCCCAAAGCATTTGCACAAAGGACCAGAACCCCAGAGGGTAGCCAAATGCAGCCAAACTGAGCAGGGCAATGGAGGCCTGACATCCAGCCCTGGGGCCCACAGATGGTCAGCCAATCATGGAGCAAGTGCAGGGAAAACCGCGTGGGGCACTGCAGAAAGCAGGGGAGGCTCAAGGTGTGCCCAGAAGCAAGGCGGACCCAGCAGGAAACCAGAAACCAGTGCTTTTGTGACAGGCCTCCACCAGGGTCCCAGCAAAGGCCCTGCCTACCTAAAGAGACTGCAGGACAGCCTGTGTCTCACCCAGAGCTACTACATCATAGGCTGAAGTAGTCTGCAGCCAGTCGCCCGTAGATGTCCGTGGTCCAGAGCACATGGGCACGGCCTGAGGCTAGAAGCAGCTGATGCAACTCTGCTTCTACGCGGGCAAACTTCTCCTCATTGATGGAGGCCTCCAGCAGGACAGAGGCAGGCGGCGGCCAGGGCAAGCCCTCATAGCAGTCCACAGGGAAGGGGTGCACCACAGTACGCAGCTCAGCCTGCACCGCTGAGTCCCGCAACAGCTCC